AGCGCCACCGCGCTCCCAAGCGGCGCACTGTAGCAGTGCGCCACCAGGCCGGCCCTGAAAGAATTTTTTAGTTTAAAGCTTTGTTACTTGTGGGGGATACAATATTCATTTAACCAAACAGGACAGTTTTTTGATAAAAACATTATTGGCCACCCATGATTTTTTTGATTACTTGGCTAAAAAATAAATTTATAAGACAGAATTATGCCTTCTATTCCCAAGAGGTAAGAATTAGTTTATTGGAAAACTTAGAAATGTAGTGATTAATCCAGTATTATCTTTCTGTTTTCTAAATGAAAGCTTTTTAGAGAACAAAAAATATGTCAAAACATTTATATTTCTCTTATGCATAATCATTTGACCACTCAAAATATCTGATCATTTCTCCTCACCACCCCCTCTCCTGTAATGCAGGAATAGTAAGTAGCTTTTAGTCTCCACCAATAAATCAGCACCTCACCGTGCATGTGCATGATTGAAATTTCCACTTAAATTGACATAAATATATTGTAGGTTTAATTTGGCAGATATTTCATACAGTGCTTACTATGTGCCAAATTTGTTTTAGAAATTTTAATTAATTTGATCAATTTATAACTTATTTAACTTAAAACTTCCTATCTTAAGATGGATGCTATTATTTTCTCCATTTTGTAGGTAAATAAGTAGACACCGATAGTAAGTGGCAGAGGTGAATTTTGAGCCCATGAACTCTAGTTTCAAAGTATTATGTCTTAACGACTATTCTCTGCTTCCTTTCCAAAAATGGGAATAAAGAGTTAGGATAACGAAATGTAACCAGCATCAGTTAACAGGTATATTAGTCCATTTCTCTTGCTTATAAGAAAAATACATGGAATTGGGTAATGAGTAAGAAAATGTAATTTATTCCTTACAGTTTCAGAAGCTAGGAACTACAAAGTCCGGGGAATACATCTGGTGAGGATCTTTGGTGATGGATTTACAGTAATGCAGGGGTGTCCCATGGCAGAAAATGGTGGAACAGAGAGAGAGAGACTCCCTCCCTTGTGCTCTCCTTTTAAAGCCCTCAGAATCATGCCACTGACCACTGTTGTTAGTCCATTCACCATGGCATGGTCCTGCAATCTAATCACCTCTTCAAGGCCCCACCTTCAATTACCATAATAGGATTCCCCACCCTCAAACAGTTACAGTGGGAATTAAACTTGTAACATACACACTGTGGGGGACACAATTCAATCAATCCATGGCAATGAGGGTACTGTTTAGCTGAAGGTTCTATTTAACTAAGGAATCCTACTTTCAAATTTTTAGTTAAAATATGTATCACTTAGTTTAGACATTACCTTAAACCTACAGTTCTATATATTCAGAAGGGTTTCCACCATTAATTTGAATGTTAAATATTTCACTTTTAAGTCTGATTTTATGATCCACTTTTCCCCTCTTTCCCGAGTACCTATTGGTTCTTCTACATATATTTGCAAGTGGTAATCAGATCTGAGATCTTTAACACCCACCCAAATAACCATCTCATTTTTAAATACTCATGCCCCAGTAAAGTGAATTTGATGTCTTCAGCAGAAAAGCGAGCAAAATTTTATCAACATAACCAATCAGAAAATAAAGTAAATCTTCCTTAGTAGAGACATAGGTGCCATTGAATTTTGTGGATGATTACTTAGAGCTTGCTTACCTGTGACTATGAAGATATAGTCAAGGAATGAAAGTGCTATTCCTGTTTTGTGCGTGTGTTTGTATAAATGAGAAGGACACTTAGACTTTTACAACTATAGTAAAGCCAATGGAGTCATATGGCTTTTAAGGCACATAGGAGGTTCTAATATCAGCTCTTTCACTTACTACTATTAGTGTGACCCTGGAAATATTTTTCTTAAATCTTAATTTTCTTAACTATTAAGTAGGTATATTGATAGTACCTGTCACCACAGGACAGCTGAAAGGATGAAATGAGGAAGTGCAAGCAAAATTCAACAATATCTAGGATAAAGAGTGGTTTATAAATGCTAGTAAGTATTGTCATCGTTGTTATAATTATTAACAATAATATACTCATCAAATGTCACCTCTCTCATAAAGCCTTACCTGATAATCTCTTTTGAGAGTAATTTCATCATTCTTAATTCCCTAGCACTTCCTTTCAGGAATTTTTTACACACTGGTCTTTATTATAGTTATCTGCTATAAATTAGGTCTAACCTTTGCTCTGCTTCTCAAACTAAAATCTTCTTAAGGCAAGGAGCTAACCTTACTCATTTCTAGACTGCCACTAATAATACATCACAGTGATTTTCAAATATATATGCATGTATCTATCTACATATATATATATATATATATATATATATATATATACGATAAATTAACATATAAGTGAAAATAATTTCTGTCACTGATATTACACATCTTGATCTTTTTGGACATTAGCCTTCTTGAAACTGCCAATTTTTCCAATCATATTATTTTTTCTATCCATGCATTAATATTATATTTTTCTGTAGAAGTGTATTTCAAAAATCTTCATTTGCTTCCAAAATAGGATTTTTTTTCCTTTTTGATGGTTTTTCCTTGATTTTTTACAGCTTCTTTTACTCTTTGTCTTTTCCATAAATTTTGTTTTAAAGGAAGTTATTTGAACAAAATATTTATAATATTTGAAAAATAAGTAATTTTATCCATTGAGTTCTTATACTGTATTTTCTACCCAAATATAATGAATTTAATAACAATGTTTATCTCTAATATAGTTGTCTTCAAAGGTATCTTTCATCATTTGAAATGCTTAACAACAGAAGTTTCTTTCGAGTATAAGAAATTTGACAGACCGTATGTGCTTGATACACATGGGATAAAA